AAAGGTTTTCATATATATATATATATATATATATATATATTTCTTATATATATATATATATATATATATTGAAACATATATTGTTAAATATAACAGACAACGAATTTCTATTATTATTGATCTTGAGCCGTTTTAAGCATCGTTTTCGGAAGAAAATAAAGACAAAAATTGCCCAACCTTTAGATATTTTTTATTATGCTGTTCCTCGATGTAAACTTATTGGGGGCCACTATATAAATCTTAGAACGGCTCATGATCAAACATAATAAATATCCGTTTTATTATTTATTTAACAATATATGTTTGAATAAGGATCTGCTGCTTAATATGTTAAATTGAAGTTACACACACACACACACACACACACACACACACACACACACATATATATATATATATATATATATACATACATACATACACACACACACACATGCAAACATAGCTAAACATATACAAATATACAGAATAAAATCCATATATATTATGTGGGATATGAGTGGTGCATATGTTTAAAAATATGCACCATTTCGGATATGTGTGTAAATATATATATATATATATATATATATATATATATATATATATATATATATGTATGCATGTATGTATATATGTATGTGTGTGTGTATGTGTGTATGTATAAACCTAATGACATTTTAGTATTCTTGTCGTTTATATAATTTAATATTTCCCAGATGTCGTTCCTTGCGACTTTTTCCTCTTTAAAAATCAAATCCCATTTTGAAGGGAACAAGATTTCAAGACGTCGAGTAAATCCAAGAGAATGCAATATGCCATCTACTTCAAATAAAAGAGATGATTCCATCAGTGAAAACTACGCTGGATAAAATGGTTGTCTTCAGAATTGGACTACCTCGAAGGAGATTAAATGCAGAATTAATTTGTATTGTAGTTTTCTTTTCATAACACCAGTCCCGATAATTTTGATCACATCCCGAATAGATAGATAGATAGATAGATAGATGAAAAAACTGAGATAGATAGATAGATAGATGAAAAAACTGAGATAGATAGATAGATGAAAAAAAAAGATGATAGATGAAAAAACTGAGATAGATAGATAGATAGATGAAAAAACTGAGATAGATAAATAGATAGATAGATATGAAAAGACTGAAATAGATAGATAGATAGATAGATAGATAGATAGATAGATAGATAGATAGATAGATAGATAGATCGATCTCCACGTGTACGCTTTCAGGATTCTAGAAATATTTTATAATGAAACTGGAAGAATGAAAACTATGAATTGCAACTCTGATCACGCACACACACACGCACACACACATATATCACATCATATCTGATCAACACACACACACACACACACATATATATATATATATATATATATAACTGTATTCAGCCCTTCAGAAAGTGTGATTGGTTCTGCACAAAGCACTATAATCAAATCATATCTGGTGTTTGGCTGTTGGTTCCTTGAAACTGAGCTGCTTGACCCTCATATGTCGAATACGATATATATATATATATATATATATATATATATATATATATATATATATATATAGTATTCATATTTGTATCATTTTTTCTTTTTTAACATGCGTAAACAATTGATATAAATTGAGATAAAATGTAACGCGAAATCTCAATTGAGACACTCAACTGAAAAAACATTTGCCTTTTTTTTCTTCCTTAAATTATTTCTGTTCCCAAAGGAATAAAACATAGCATAAACGGCGTAAAAAAACAATGAGAATTGAAGTCAGTGGGGATAATCTTCTTCATGTCTCCACGTTAGTTTAATAATGAATAGGTTTTTGAAAATTTGCAGACGTACAATCGGTGGCAGAACATTTAACATTCCCATCATCTACAGAAAAAAAAGAAGAAAAAAAGAGATCAAAAATTAAATGGAGTTGTGAAATATAGCGAATAAGTAGAATAATAAATCTCCCGCCAGACAATAGAGAACGGGGTAAAATATGATGAATATTTAAAATTTGCTCATGCAATTCACTGACAAAGAAGAGACCTAGACACGCATGCGCAGAAACTATACATAACTTCGTGACCAAAGTCAGTTACCCATTCATAAACTGTTAACGAATAAAA